GTCCAAAAAATTGAAGGCGGTGGTCCGTCCAAAAAAGTTGATGGCGGTGGTCCGTCCAAAAATTTTGATCGCGGTGGTCCGTCCAAAAAGTTGTGGCCGGTGCCCAAAAAACGCGGTGCACCCTGATGAACAAGAGGCTATATGTACAGTAGATGTACGGTAATGTACGGTAGATGTACGGTAATGTACGGTAGATGTACGGGAATGTACGGTAATGTACGGTAGATGTACGGTAGATGTACATCTACCGTACATCTACCGTACATTACCGTACATTCCCGTACATCTACTGTACATATAGCCTCTTGTTCATCAGGTTACATCAGATCTTTTGAGGGACTGTGTGTGTGTGCGTCTTGTGATGCGTCACGGACAGGCAAGGATCTACTCCTCAATTTTGGGGCGTGATCCAGCTTAATGGCTTCTAGTTGTTCCATGGCCTACATAATGGATTCGTTACACTATATTCTACTACGTGTGCGTGTTGCATATTTATGTGTTTCTGTGTGCAAAGTACTACTCTGTCGTACGGGTGGACCACCACCCCACAATTTTTTCACGACTAAAACATAAAAAACAATCGCGCCCATAAAAACAGAAAAAATGTTTCCAAAACAACACAAAATACAAAGATTTGCTAATCAGTCTCAGTTCTACACAAAAAAGAAGAGTACACCAAAAAACATTGAAAAACGCTTCTCTGCAAACCCGTCCACAAAAAACATAGTTTTTTCAATGCAAAAACCTAAGTTCCCTAAGTAAGTTGTAAGTGATTTAGCACTAATTTAGCACCCTCCAACATAAACTAGGATAACTTACTTATATATATCGAAAGTAATTTGTAACTGCAACGTAAATACCACCAAGAACTTAGAACACTTCACAATCTTAGACCAGCTTACAACATCAGTTAACCCATGTTATAACATATGTTACGGCACTTTACAAGTTCTCCAACTAGGGGGGCCCATCTTTGTACGGACCTTTCGGAGGGTCCAAGAAGTCGTCGTCTTTGACATCAGGTTTATGCGAGACTCTCTTAGATGTTGACTTAGAGATCTGGCATATTGGGCACATGGGATTCTTAGGGTAATGTGTTAGGACATGCGGTTCCGAGAAAGCGGCATCCTTTAACGCTTCAGGGTCATCCGCTATTCCTATATCATCCCCTTCACAGGCAAACTTTTAGTGTCTTGTCGTCGTCTGGGTGAGGCGGTATGCCCCCCGCGAATGCATCAGCGGTCTCAGACCCTACGGCACTGGACCTAGGAGATGCATCCTCGACGGAGTCGACTGGCTCGCTCACGTCGTCTGCTGCGACGGATGGGGTGTATTCTTCGTCCGAAACGGGGTCTGGCGTTGTCTCCGCGGGAGTTGCATCGATGGCCCCCAGTGGCTGGAGGCGTTCTGGGGGAACGAACCGAATAGGTTTGACCTTCTCGTCATACTGGGGAACATACTCTACAACTCTGGATGCACAGATCCTATGCTTTCGGGTATGATACGCAGTCTACATTTAGGGACTATGCCAATGCTTGGTGGGATAAGGTATGGCACCTGTTCACGGGGATCTCAAATGAACATGTACCCTTTGTCCATCACCATCTTGCCAATCGATTGGGCTGGCGGGCACTCCTTTAAAATGTAGACTTCTTCACCTTCAAGAAGTTCACTTCCCGCAAATGCGAGGGAGTCTGCGCTCTGTTGAGCGCCGCCTCCTTTCGTGAAGCTTACAGGGCTGTTTGAAGGTGAAGCGCATTCACGCATTTCTTGCGTGAGTGCCTGACGACCGAACAGATGTCTCCCCGCGGCCGTGTCCCAGAGCCATGATATTTTCCCGTCTTCAAAAGCGGGCATGGCGTGTATTTGGGCAACAGCGGCAGTGGCCTTCGCAGGAGGCTTGCCTTTGGCGAATCGGAGAGACTTGGGGGGTGGCCCCTTATATTTGTTGTTCGTGTCGTGTAGGAAGGGACAGCTCTTGGCTCGCCACGAATTAAAAGCGAAGAATGCACATGGCGTCTTGGCTTTCTGGGCCATGGTCATGTCCGCCACCTTAACTACGGCTTCCGACCGGGGAGTGGTCGGAGGACCTTTTGGTTTCGGTTTTGGAGGACCTCTAGGTGTGGCTTTACCTTTGCCGAGTGGAGCTGCGGGCACCTCTGCTGTGGTGTCCTGCTTAGGAGCCTTTTCCTTCTTGGGTTTCTTCTCCTTCTTAGGCCTAGGTTCCTTTTTAGGCTTGGGCTCCTTCCCTTCCTTTGCCGCGGGGTTCGCGGTCACCAGCTTGGGATTATATGTCGTGGCCAAATCAGCTGTTTGCGAATCTCGAAGCTTCTTATCGAAAGCGTGTCGATTGGCCTTGACACGTTCCAGCTCGATGAATAGGTCGACCTTTTCCCATAGCCATTTGGTGGTTCTACGATGGCTACCAGCTGGGGCCTCACGGGACTTAGTGATCTTATTAGACAAAGGAGTGAACTGTTCAAGTTCGTCGAGAAGATGATTAAACAGTGTGGTTTCCCGGGGTAGGTCATCAACAGGGATGACCGCCATTATGTACCGGTACTTCTCCTGAAAGTTAATCAAATCCTCCACCTTGTTGCCTTTAAGTCTTAGCGTGAGAAGGTTGCGTTCACCTAACATTCCAATACGATCTTTCTCGAGTTGGAAGTGCCTGAAAATGGTAGCAAGGATGACTCTACCGCATGGCATACCTTTACCGGCGAGTCGGGATTCCGCAACCATCCGTTGAAAGATGATACCAAAACGTCCAGTTTTACAAACTTTTAACATCTTGGTGGCTATTTCCCGGTCTGTCCGTGGGAAGCGCTTGTGGACTGGTTGACTCGTGTCCGCGAGTGACTCAGCGGTTTCACGATTGGGCCTTGGGCACGGCCTTGTCGGACGAGGCGGACGGTCGATCTGGCTCTGCGGGCCTGGTCTGTGACCTGGATCTCGAAGTAGCCTGGGGAGTCTGCGAACGAGGCTGCGTGGGGTGATCGGCCGGCCGAAGTTGCGGTCGCCAACCTGTGGACGAACCAGCTGCACTCGAACCTATGATGGGTTGGAATGTGCGTGCAGGGACGGTGACCGGGAACGACGGTTGGGTGGAAGGTGCGGCTTGCGACGAGGCCGCCGCGGATGAACGAACCTGTCGAAGCGGTATAAACTTGTAAGTCTTCTGGTAATATCCTGGGGGAAATCGGTACGTAGGTTGCTTGACCCCTTGTACGATGTCCGGCATGTGTCGGGAGCACCACGCCCAGCATTCTGGGAGGATAGCTGCCCATGCCCTGAGGGCCCCGTCGGAAAGCTGACCTTCCTCTGCAGTCTCAGCCCAAGCGTCCGCATGATGGACTACGTATTTATACCGCTCGGAGTAGTCCTTCCGCGCTAACAGCGGTTTCACGAATGGCAGGTGGTAAGCCTTGCCGACTCGACGATATGTATGGCTTGCCAAGTGACTCGCAATGAGATCACAGGTTGCCGCATACTTTTTGTCCGATTGCTCGAACTGGTGCTTCTGGCCTCCCCGTGCCCCACGTGTTCGTTTGGGCTGCGGATCGACGGCCGCTGAAGCCGGTTGTGATGCCTCCGCGCTAGGCGCGGTTTCCTCACCTCCCACTTCCACCTCCTGCTCACCCTTAACTACACGCTCGAGTTGATCGTCGATATCGACGTCAACGTCCTCGTCTCCGTAGTCCACCGCCTCCTCATCGAACATTGGATCGGTGGCCAGTGAGTCGAATTGTGTGGGGTGATGATGGGTATGTTGTGGTGGTAGGCCTACCGAAGCAGTTGAAGGTTCAGCGTGCTCTTCAACCTCTTCTTCCTTAGTGGTAGGTTCTACTTTTGGTGGGCCTAGTAAGGAAAAGGCATCGAAGGCAAGTTCCTCGGCGTTACTTTGGCCTAACGAACTGTCTTGAGCGTCCGAGACCTCTCCGCGCAAAGCAGCGGTTCCGGTCTGGAGCTCTGCTTCAATTGGAGGGGTTTCGACGTTGGGTGCACACTCTTGTCGGTTATTTAACGACTCAAGTGTGCTGGTTTCAAGTGGCAACTCCTCAGTGGTTGGCTCTGCAACAAGGTCTTGTTGAGTTTCGTCGAAATCTTCCGCACCTGCGGTTGCCGAACCGGGAGGCGTGAAAGTGGGTTGTGACGAAGAGACGCCTGTTGCAACCCGGGGAGTAAGAGGTGGACCTGGCACGGGTGCCTCCTCGAACTCTTGGTCCGTGGTTTCCGCGCTAGGCGCGGTTCCAACCACTCCCCAGGGGAGGCGGGTGCCTCTTGGTCCTGGGGGCCCTCAGCGAGCGCCGTGGCTGGTGCTGCAGCCGTTGAGGACGATGCGGCGCCAGTTGCTTGTGGCTGGGGGTTTACTCGACCCATTGGCGGACGATGTAGCAGCGAAAGGCGTGCTGCTATGGACCAATCGAAGGGGTCGAGAGATGCCTGTAGCTCGGAGCTACGGCTGATAACCAATTGAGTGAACAATCCAGGAGGGACGTATGGAAACGCCCAGCTTATCCTATCCACCGGGAGGTGGTAAAAGAAGTAAGCTAAGTCCCTGGATGCCCTATCTATATTAATGGGGACACGGGGTGTGTCGGAAGGACGGGACCCCGTGGTTGCGTGTGAGCCGAACGAACGAAGGCACGACGGCGAACGAGCGAACGGAAGGTGGCAAAAGGTGCGGAAGCAAAATGCGACGAAAGCAGTGACGCACACGGCACGTCAAAGCGGCACCCTGAAGAAAATCGAGCGGACGCCCAATTTTCTTGAGCCATGAGCCACGGTCGGCACATGTATTGTACATGTGGTGTGTGAACCGTAGCTACTAGTAGACATGTACAAATAGTGCCTAGCTGTTACATAGTAGGGGTCCTCAAAAAAATGACTGTTTTGAGATACTCTTCTGAATTTCAAGGAGTGCCTTGAAGACTTGTGATCCCTGAGTGTGACATCCATGACCCTTTTTGGCAAGCTGACTTTCTGATTGCAAGCAAGGGTCAACTTCACCAGAACTGCGGTGGCGTTGCTAACGCGCTTCTCTGTTTCTACTCGGATGACGATACACTGTCGACCGTTGAGCAGCTTTCCATTTAAATTCCTCGGCAGAACTAAGCCCATTCCCCAGGAAATTTAAAGTTTCACAGCGGTCCAACTGACGACACCCCAAGGAGTCATTCGGCGCAGTGACATGTAAGGAGATGCAAACTAGGTGTCCGGCACACCAACGGGCTTCCCCTGCGACGAAGGCAAAAAGGGCAACGCGCAAAAAAGATCGTGCACCGGTCCAAAACACCTGAAATCGACCGTTTCGCAACTGCCTACCAAAGAAATACACATCGGCAAGTGGCAAGTGGCATCCGCGTCGCCTGCTCAACCATTTCAGGCGTTGGTCTCTTGGACACATCGTAGGCGATGGATGAATCAACCAGAATTGGGATGCAAAAGGCCACTTTGGATCTGTACGACTCCTTCAGGAGATCTGAAAGGCGTCTTCTCAATCAGTCAAGCTCGCAATAAACAAACATCGGGCAGCAAAAGGACATCACTGAGGAACACACAAAAGCCCGCCTCCACGGCTGCCACTGCCTCAGGACCTTTCTTCTCCGCTTCCTCGATGTCTCTGTTTTTCATGTTGAGGTAATTGTTCTCAATGATTGCGTCCATGTTCTCCCACTCATCTGGGGGCTTCTTGACGGAATAAACTCCTGGCCAGTGCAGAGCTCTCGCACAAAGCGCTGATATCAATGAGTGCCCTCTCCAAAGTTCTTTCTCCAGCCAGTTCGCCTTTGCATGAACGGTGAAAAACACTCCGTGTTCAAATTCTAGCGTATAGATGCATGTTCTAGTTCTAAACACAATCGGTGCAAATAGCCAGTTTTGCCTTTACCCCACCAGGCGTTGGCCTTCTCACCCGAAGTTACCAAAGAAGCCTGTGGATATGCAAAAGCCGGGGGCTGACGATATAAAAGGAATGCCTGAAATGAAAGACATTGACTTTTGCCTAAGATTCATAAAGGCTGAGGGCATCGCGAACAGTTCCACCGCTGTCTTCCTCAAATCCGTAATATTTCTAAAGCCAAACTCATTGGTATAGTGGAATAAACATTGCACATCGCTGGCATCGCTGGCTTGAGTCAGGTCAAGGGCATCCTGCCAGACCTGAGAGAAATTTCTGTGGTTGCCCGGCCCCGCAACTGTGAAGCGGTGTCTCAAAAAGAATCAAATACCAAGCAAAACGTCCACGTTCATTTTCCCTGGCACCTTCACGCCCAGTTCTGTGTGGACCCAGCACCAGTCTTTCGCATCATGCCGGTACTCTTTGTGATCGAAAACAAGGCCTTCCTTGTAGCCCTTCTCAAAATAATCTTTCAGACTGGCCTGAGGCAGGGAGCTGAGACGCTTTGGGACGTGGACTGAGACTGCCTAGACCGGCCCGACGAGACGGGCCCAAGGAGCCCGGATGGGCCCACGAGGTCACACGGAGTCGCATGGACCCGTGAAGCAAATGTTCGGGGCTCAGGGTCACCGGTGTTCGTTGGCCTGATAAG